AGGCTAAATCAACTACATGTAATCGTCTCCTTTTATCGCAGAGAAATTGCAACACATCTTCTGTCACAGTCATCGGTCAATATAACCGAACAATAACATTTTTATAATCCCATAGTACGTATAAAGGCCAGCAAAGAAATTTTGTTTTTGTTTTTGTTTTTAACCGTTCATGGATGTCAAGAACGTGAACTAAACGAACAAGACCTAATTACTATGCCGTGATCTGTCATGTGCAATGTCATCCTGATGGAGAGCTGCTTTGACTGAAAAAAAAGCAACATAGGTGACAGAATGATAATGTAGTAATACAATAGCGTCAAGCAAAATCGGAGCTTTCGGGTTTTGTTTTGTTTCTTTGTTGTAATTTAAGTAGATCTAATAACAATCGTAGCTCACACTACGTAGGCCATACTTTGCGGGCATCTTTCTAATCAATTCAGGTATTGTAGGTGACATGGTGACAATATATTACATGTATATATATATATAAAAATATATATTTATCTATTTAATTGATTTTCTTTCCACACGCAAGCAGTTGCGCAGTTCTTTCACCCCCCCCCCCCCCCCCCCCCCCCCCCACACAAACAAAAGCTCGTCCCTTTTTTTTCCTGGATGGCAATAATTCGAATAAAATTGGTCTTGTTTAGTTTTAGTAGAAGTTTTACGGCGCTCGCAACTGCATAAGGTCATATATGAGCGCCAGAAGATTAGAGGTGTTACAAGAGAGTAACAAATATAAAAAAAGAAGAAGGGGAGATAAGGACGATAGATGTTTGATAGGAAAGAATATATGCTACAGGATGGTTCACTCCGGAAAAAAAAAGCGGACGTCCTTGCAAATTATCAGTTGGTGCCATCGGCGACTTGAGGACGCTTAAAAAAAAAAAACACTCGCCCAAATAGAGGAGACTGCTACATGTATCTTGTAGGTCTTACATAGTCTGTACATGTATTGTACAATATACTTTACTTTACTTTACTTTACTTTTCCGATCCAGCGGCCATTTGGGTTCTAGCCCTTTGGTCTGTCGATATGGCAAAGAATTGGCAGGTTTTAATCAGCTGTGCAAGTATACAAGTTTGCTCTCAACAAAGCGACCAGAGTTTTCTTCGTGGAGGGGACAAAAGCTACCATTTTGCCAGAAGTTGAGCAAATCCTGCAAACTGAAACATGTATGATTATTTAGGGCATCGGGTTGTTTGATTTTTTAAAAATGTACATGTGTATTTAGGTGTCCCCCCAAAAAACAAAAAACAAAATAAACCAACCAACCAACCAACAAAAAACAAAAAAACTAAACCTGACACAATTTAGCTCATTTAGGAGATGTGCTTCTGACCCTCCCTGTCAGGGCAAACCCGCGCTGAGAGGGATGCAACAATATCCCAGCAGAAAGACCAGCCAAGACGCTCGATACAAATTTTCTCCCCTCTTGGGATCTGAACTCGGGTCTCCTGCGTGCCAGCGAGGTGCCTAAGCCCTGCACCACACATGCTGGTGCTGCAACATGTGTTCTAGTCTGATGTCTCACTAATGAAGCTCAACTTCCATGTCGGAGTGGAGTGCCATCTATAGATGCCGCACACTGCAAGACGTGGGTGGTTGGTGAGTGCTCTGGTGTGGTTCACTCCTTCTTTCTTCGTTTTGTTGTTGTTTGTTTAGTATAGGGTTTTACGGCGCTCGCAACTGCATTAAGTCATATGAGCGTGCGGGACACACTTAATACTTTTTCGTTGGTAGGAAATTTTGAATTTTGCCCGGGTGGCGGCCGAAGCCTACTCTTATCGATTTTAGACCACCAAGGGATCTTTAACGTGCGCAATTTGCACACGGGCCCTCCGAGATTTTTCGCCCTTGTCCGAGAAGGCTAGGTGTAGATCTTTCCTACCAGAAGATCAGGGGTGTGGCAGAAAGACAGCAGTTAGGAGGAGCCAAGGAGTAGCAGTAGAAAGGCTGCAGAAAGAGTCAGGAGCCCAGAGGAGGGGGCAAAGGAGGTGAGGGGGTGGGGGCAGAAAGTGGAAATGAAAGCAGACAACAGAACATTGTTAGAGATCAGGAAAGGATGTGAAAGGAGACAATTTTAGAGAAGAAAATTTTTTGGTCGCTACCCGGAATCGAACCCAGGACCTTTGAATCTTCTTTCTTCTATCAACAAACATCTGCTATGATCTACCATCCTTGTCTCTCCTCCTTTTACTTGTTACATATATAATAGATATATAAATATGTATTACATTCTCTAGTGACACCTCTCGGAATCTTCGGCACTGATGTGACCAGACAGTGTTGCAAGTGCTGTAAAAACTTTTACTAAAACTAAACTTCAAGATATAGGACTATCATCTGTTCTTTGGACTGTCTAAACCATGCCTTCTGGCTAACTCTCTTCTGTCTGTTAACATAAGACAAAAAAACACGACAAAACCCCCCCCCCCCCCCCCAGACCCAGAGCACCTCACAAAGAGGGGCCTGCTTTCGAAATACAGTCACAATTGTCTGCAAAGAAATGAAGTTTTAGTAGTAGAGGTTTCACAGCGCTTGCAACCGCACAAGGTCATATGAGCACCAAGGGGAGGATGTCAACGGAAAACTCCTTAGGGAATCAGACTTACTCAGCTCACCTCTATAGCTTCAACTTCAAAAGCACAAAGTCTGCTTCGACTACATGTATATTATCAAGGCAAGGCACCCCAGAAATAGCGGGTCACAAGAGTGTGACAAACATACAAAAGAAGTAGAGGAAAAAAAATGAATAGTAAAGATTAAGAAAGAAAAAGCAGCAGTTCACTGTCGCAGTTCAGGCTTAGTTTTATGAGAATTGCATATTGATGAATCAGCCCATTTATAATTCTATTGTGCACAAGAACGTGTTAATATCTCCCCTTTGGGAATCTGTAAAGACGGCCATCTGTTGTTGAGGAGAATGAAAAGTGATTGTCTTAGAATAGGTGGATGTCTTTCACGATGTCATTATAAATTATAATATGTAAAAAATACACAAACAAGTACATGCAAATGGGAAGTGGTTGTTTGTACAGGTGATTGTCTTATTATACAGGTGGCTGTCCGTGTTTGTGTCTACTGGGGTAATTTTTAAATTGGTGTGGGCTAAAGCCCTTATCAACACTGTAACGGAATTTAAGAGGAGGGGACATCTGAATTAAACATCCATGATCTGTGTGTGGTTGATGTGTGCTCTGCTGTGGTCTGCTCCTTCTTTCCTATCAAACATCTATCATCCTTTTCTCTCCTCCCTCCTTTTTTTTTTTGCTTGTTACTCTCAAGTAACACCTCTAATCTTCTGCACTTATATATATAACTTGTGTTGCAAGTGCCGCATAATGCTTACTAAAAACAAATTATATCAATCTGATCTTCGATGACCAAACCACGGGGGCTGAAGAAAGCTTTGAAAACTCCCGAAACAACCCCAGTTTCAGAATGCCAAAACCAGCGTCATCCGCACCATACCTGAGCACTATACCAACTGAGCTAACGGTACACTCGTCTTGTTAACAGCAATACAGTTGAAACAGTTTACGATGCGCCACCCCTTGTTGAGGAGAAAAGTGCCCGTTTTACACAGTGCATTCATTATGTAAAAGAAATTATGCAAAATTATGCAAAGGGGGAGATGGCAAGTGGTTGCTTTTACAAGATGATTGTGTCATACAGGAGGCCGTTACAGTAGTTTCGAAGGTACATTTAATAAATACTTTTATCAATATTTTACGTCTTCAATGCATAAATTATGAGGCAGGCATGTCAGGACCAGCCTGCGTTGAGAGGGACATGACATCCCTGTAGACACCCCCTGCCCACATGGGTATTGAACTCATATTTGGTCGCTTTTAACGAAAAATGCTGTTTTGAGAAAATTGAACATGATATCCACAGTATAATCCCCTTATATCAACATGCTTTGGGAAGTGGATTTGATGTCAATATATACACAAATTTCTAAAAATGAAAATACAAAGCCAAAGAGGAAAAATACACAGTGAAGCTAACAAGAGGCTGAGGGGGGGGGTTTTGGACATGGAGTATGGTACATGTATCAAAGACCGAGCAACACGAGGCGCACACTACACACCAGTGCAAACTTTGCTGTAAGCATTCTTGTAAGGCCTGTTTATGGCCACTTGCGGGGGAAAATGGAAAGGCGAGGCACTGACCCACTGACGGTGGCACACAATGATAGACTGAGAATGGGATGGGGAAGGGGAGTGAGCGATCGGGAGTGGGGGTAGAGAGGTGATGCATAGCGCGCGAGACGTTCACGTCTGTGAGGCACTGAATTGTGTTGGAGACTGCACTGTGTAGGCCCTACATGACCTACTAAAGCCTGGTGTGTTGAATAGGCTACTTGGCGGGTATGCAGACTTAATGAACAACTAATGCGTTGACCGTTAGCCTGGCTTTTCCCCCCATTTATGTTCGTGGGCTTCACCAGATACCCAGGAAGCATGTCAATAAAACAGAGTGGGCCGAAAAAAAGTTGATAGAAGAGAAATTGTTTAGTGAAGATATTGAAAGAAAAACTTGGTAATTGAAAAATATGTCGAAACGTTAAAATGTCTATACATCAACTGTCGATATAAGTGGATTATACTGTATCTTTAAAAGACAAGGACAGTTTTCTCAAAAACCAAACAAATATACACAGAAATGAAACCAAACTTCTCGTAAAGGTACGGCAATGCCCACTTTTGGAGAAAGTCAAGATTTCTCGAAACCCCCTAAATCTGGGTTAGCCCACTTGTCCTTAAAAGCGACCATTTTATATCTTCTGTCTGCAACTGCAATGTTCCTAACCACTACACCACAGACACCTGTACCTGTATAGTAAGGCATCAACCTGAACACCAAAATTTAAAAACACCAAAACAGCACACTGTAGTGGCAGGTAAGATGCCACACCAGAAAACAGGGAGCTAAATATTATTCAATAGCGTAGCTTAAATTATACTTTTTCACAAACCAAACTCATATAAAATTTAGAAAAACTTTTTCCAATCTTTATTCCTTTCTAAACAAGGAATGACAGGACTATAAAAAAAACTCACAAGTCTGAAAAATCTGTACTTGGCTTATATTATGTTTAGAAACTTGACATGTCATATAAACCAGCCATCATGTAAAAGTTGAAAGGTAACGGTAAGTCAAGTAAGTGGCACTTACACAAAAGACAATATATTCTTCCACAGAACACAAACAAATAAACAAATGTACAAATGGAATCATAACTAGCACTGCACAGGAGAAGTCGACATAGCAAGGTTTCTTCCAGAACATTTAGCCAAAAGTACTGCCGTTCCAGATGCACCAAGAGCGGCCGACATCAGTCACACAGATGAAAAACCTGGTAGAAAAAAGATTATTCTTTATTAAGTGAAAACAATCATAAACAAAAAAAAAGGTGAGCAATAAATTAATATATTTCTGAAAAGTGAAGTTATCAGTACGCAGTGCCTTTTTTTAAAAAACATTGACATTTTTATGTCCTCTTTTTTTAGGTTTATTAAGAGTTTTACGGCACTTGCAACACAATAATTGCGAAGATTAGAGGTGTAACAAAAGAGTAATATTAACAAACACAAAAAAGAAGGAGAGATATGGACGACAGACACTTGATAGGAAAGATGGAGCAAACCTCACCAGAGCACCCGCCAACCACCCGATCAACACAATATAGATCATTTCGGAGGAGGGCTTCCGACTTTGCCTGTCAGGGCAAACCAGGGTTGAGTGGGATACACATACATCCCAAGCAGAAAGACTGAGATACTTGATAAAAATTTTCTCCCCACTTGGAAATCAAACTCAGTTTAAGAAACGGGACCTCCAAGCTTAACGTCCATCTCTTAAAGGTCCCAGCCAAATGGGAAATTCGTGTACAGCGCCTTTCCCGGTGACACAACATCGGACAGAGCTGAGGCTCAAAGCCACAAACCAGCAATACCACTATTATAGGTCCAATAGCCTAAGCACTAGGCTACCGATGTGATTCAAGCAAACATAATCGTAACTGAGTAACTCCATCCGAAATACATGTGTGCATATACAAAACTGTGGCAGAGACAGTTGCAAACCAATCACACATGACCAATTCAGATAAAAAATAAGTAGGCTTTGTGGAAGGTGAGTGGGAAGAGCTTAAAAGTGTGTAAAATTTTCAAAGGACAAGTTTTTACTGTTCTCAACAAGAATCAGGCGTCACTTTTTTTTTTTTTTTTTTAAATTATTATTATTATTATTATTATTATTATACTCAACAGAAAACAAACAACAACATTGGCAAAAACATGTCTATGTTTAAAATACAATCCATGACAAGTCTTTCCTGAAAAACAACAAGAAGCACCACATTTATTAATGATCCTATAATTTAGAAACAACAATAACCATGTTTTTCTTTCAAATGCATGCATTTAATATCTTCTGGGGGGAAATACTGAATGAATTACTGAGTGATCTCATTCTTTGGGCTGAGTAACTCGATCTTTCTGGTAACAGAGTCACTTCCCTTAACCGTTTTTCAGGGAAGTGCGTTTGACGTGGAGGGAGTGCGTTTCGCATGGAAGTAGATTTCGCGTGGGTACACGCCAAAGCGACTTTAAGAGCCTACAACACCAAGCACTCAGGCTATAAATGAAGAGAAAGCCCAGGCAAAAGGTGGATCGATGGTGTCAAAGAAACCCTAAGAAAACATAACATCACAACTGAAAGAGCAGCAGAGCTGGCCTACCATAGAAAACTGCATCTCCCCTCAACGTTAAACGATAACAGAGGATGAAAAAGTAAAAGTAAGTAAAAGTAAGTAACAAGCAAAGAAAAGAAAAGGAGAAAAGGACAATAGATGTTTGATAGGAAAGAAGGAGCTCACCAAACCAGAGCACCCACCATCCACCAACACTCTGTTGTGAGAATTTCACAAATCTGAAGACGTAAACGTACTTCCTAGTCCAGTTCCAGACTATTTCTTATTACTTTTTCTCTCCGCCCATTCCCAAAATCTAAGGAACAAAAAAAAAAAAGAAGTGTTATCGCTAACCTTTTAATTTTCAATTGGAATACTGATTTAATGGTGAAATCAATTAAATATAAATTCAAAGTAAAAATAAAATGTTTATTCTAGTCACTTTGAATTTATCTACCCTCCCCTCCGGTTGATTAATTTCTTAGTCACAAATCAGCAGACTTTGCACACAACCAAAAATAATTTTTCGAATGGCTGGTCTCCCAGAGATTATTATTGCCCAACTGTTGACACAAAAAACTCTCAAAACCAAACAAAAATTATAAAATGGAGACTGTCAAGCAACAAATCTACAGCTCTGTTAGTTCTTTAGATCAGTTTCAGCTGGTAGTGACAAGAAGCTGAATTAGCGAACATGATTTTCACCAACTCGTACACTTTGATGTTGTTATTGTTGTTGTTGTTGTTGTTATCGATCCCGCAACACCTGGGCCCTTGACCTTCTGTCCAATGCCTTAGGTAGGCCTACACTTAGATTTAAAAAAAAAAAATAGCTTAAAATGTAGAGACCTTTGCGAACAGGACTGCTTTCTTTTAACAAAAAAAAAGACTCTCGCTCAGATCTCGGCAAGGCAGTAAACACGTAAATACAGAGACTGGCTCATGTGAGAAGCATGCATTATGTTTTTGTGCATGAACGAGCGATTGATCAAAGGAAAAAACAACAACCGAACAAACCTGTCTTTCTTTATTCCGAGCTTCTGTTCAATGAACTCTGAGATTATAGGAGCAAGTTCCCTGTTTTTTTCCGCTGAAACAACACCAATGCAACCAAGACTAATATTTGCACAAGGCTCTGACGACCCTTGAAAGGACATCAGTTGGTCCGGATTGACTTGAACAAGGATAAACTGAAACAAAGAAATAGTACTGCTGTCAGCAGAAAAAATACACCTATTTGTTCAAAATTGTTTTTTGAGATGAAAAGGAAAAACAGAATACATTTGTGAGGCATCATGGTGAAATCAGACACTCGTCAAAACAGCATATTTTTCCTTTGGTTTGGTAAATTTTATCCAATTTTTTTTGGGGGGCTCAACACCTTTTAGATCTATCTATTTTTAAAAACACATTTCTCTGTGGATTTTGCTGGAAGGCATTGATTTAAAGCACAACAAATGTAAACCTTCATTTCTCAAGGACTCTCAAGCTATGGAAGTTACAAACTTGGGAAGGTGACCCCACCGTCTTCAATCGGAAATATCTCAATTTCTATTCCAGATAGAGATGGGTATTATTTTTCATCGAATGCAAGACAAATGAACAGGCTTTAAATAAAAGATGATACCATTAACTCCACATACCCAAAAATCGACGAGCGCCTGATTCCATATCTTACTATTATTCTGTTGTTAACACTTTGCCATCACAAGGTTCATTATAGTAAAAACCCTTGCCATTACAAGCATTGTGGGGAAAATCTGAAGAAACTGGGAGGTAAACATCGCCAATCTGCGTTTAGTGACTGCAGTGGAAGTTCGTCGTTCTTGCCAATCGGCAAGATGTGACGGCAAAGTTATCATCAATGCCTTTCACCCCTGGCAGGGTATAGGCCACATGACAAGCTCCTTCCATTTATCTGGGCCATCCTTCGTAGCTCGTTCCAAGTGAGCTTCATCTCTCTCATGTCCCTTTCCATACATCTCCTCCATGTCTCTCGTGGCCTACCCCTGCCTCATACTCCCTGTGGGTTCCATTGCAGTGACTGCCTTGTGATGTTTCCGCTGGGCTTTCTGAAGGTGTGTCCCATCCAACGCCACTTTCTTAGTCCTATTTCTACTTCTATATATCCTTTTGTCCTGTCCTTTCCCATAGCTCTTCATTTCTTATTCTATCCTGCCACTTAATTCTTAGGATACTCCCCATACATCTTTTGATGAAAGTCTGGACCCCCCCCCCCCCCCCCCCCCCCCGTCCTGATTTTGGTGCCCGTATTTGTTGGTTACGTAAAAAGAATGTAATGGTGCAAATTGTTATGTTTTCAAGAGAAACGAAACAAGAGAAAGGGGAATTGTTGAGTCAGTAATGATGATGATGTTGATGATGGTAGCAATGGTGACGGTAATGGTAATTGTGATGGTGAGCATGAGGATGATTATTTATGTTGGCGATGATGATGTTCTGATGTAGGAAATGACGTGCTTATTAGTCTTAGTGTTAAGTTTGTTTGGTGCTTAATCTGGACCCCGCCAGGCTGTCCTGGGGGGCAGGACACAACCCTCATTCCCAACTCCTCGCATAGAGTGACCAAAAATTTGTAAATAATTTGTCATCTTCATCCCCAGCATTTAATAAAAGTAGGCAGAAAAATCACATGGGAGACGTTTCTAAGTGATGACATTGTAAGTGTGTTTGTTACCCTACGTCAATGCTATCATATTTTCAAAACAGTGAAAGGAATATGGCCAATAATCTGCGTAAAAATTAATTTTCATAGTCAAAGCAGACTAACTTGTGTGCTTACAAGTTACCGCAATCGTCATTCGCAACCGGTCCCGAGGCACTTCTGTGGTCGTCGGAGCATGTAAAAAACCTGAAAAACCATGCCCAGACGACCAGAGAATTACAGGATTGCCACTTCCTAAAGAGTTATCAGCAAGTTCACCATAAGTGTATCAATATATTAATGCACACAAAAAGCAACACGCAGTACTGGAGGACCGGAAGCGAAGCTGCGTCTAGCGACAACTCAGATACCACGGGCATTAAAAGTCCCCGTCTCCAAAGAGATAGAACATTTATAGGCCACTATTAATGAAATGGAAAGACAAACTAGTTAGTATTACTATTAAGTGCAGGAAATGTTATATCAAATTACTTCCCTATTCTATCCCCATGTGATGACACGCGACCGCGAATGACACCATTAAGTCTGACTAAGAGTATAATGAAGGCAAAGAGATGTTAAAAAGTACAAATTGCACAATTAAATTACGTAAACACACACACACTCACACAATAGTTAAGTATAACAGTCTTCCACTTAAGCTCGCTCTCATGCGGGGACGAAACAAAAGTGGCACGAGATGGAGACTGGAAGCCTAGCCTTTAGCTCTTAGCCCACAATTGTCTGAGACTACATTCACTCTCATAAATTTCTATGATATTCTTACTTTCCCATACTTATGTTTAGATACTGTTAATTTTCCGATTGCAATAGCTGCATTTGTTAACCCCCATTCCCGGTGACCTACATGGTATCGATTCCCTTCACTGCCCCAAGTAAACCTATTTTCTCATTAATTACAATTGATGTACCTACGTGGACCTGTAAATCTTTTTCAATTTCTTTCCAAAGTGGCTGGACCTTCTTACAATTATAAAAAAAGAAAGTCTGGACTTTATTCAGCATTGTCTTTGATGTCTTCAAAGTTTCGCAGCCGTAGAAGAGCACAGACGTGATGACAAAGTATTCACAGGGAATAATTACTATAAGAAACTGAATCAGTTCACAGTCATTAATGATAGACTATATTATATTTCATAGCAGGCCTCCTAGATCTTATAACAACAAAGATTTCTAGTGATTTTTTCTTTATTATCATTTCAGAGAAAAGGACAAAAATGAGTCTAAAATAATAATAATAATAGTAGATAGCATTTGTATAGCGCATATCCCCGCTCAACAGCAGGCTCTATGCGCTTTACACTATATTATTACCCCAGCAGATCAAAGAACACTCCGAAACATTCTCAGCTTCCCGGGAAGCATACAGTGCGAGCAGCCGATTAAGCGCTCAAACACTAACAAACTGACAAGATCTTTCGCTGTCTATAGCCGGGTACCCATTCCCACCTGGGTGAAGTGAGGAAAATTCGTGTAAAGTGCCTTTCCCAAGGACACAACGTCGGGCCCTTGACGGGATTCGAACCCACGACCTTACGGTTGCGAGTCCGAGAGCCTAACCACTAGGCCACAGACGCCACTATGATATTTGTTTATTTTTTACGTTTTCCCTCTTTCTTTGACTTTGGTTTTAACCCAATGAAAATGAAAGTTTTAATGGTAGATCAGCTGAGCTGATTCTTCAAGGGCTAGCCAACAGGCGACGTTCACGGCGTAGTTGGCAGGCTATGTTCACGGTGCCCTGAATGCAGTTTGCAGGCGCTGTTGAGGCTACGTTCATGGCACTTAATACTAAAGTTTCGTTTAGGGGGAGTGTCCACAGCCGGTTTAAGTCAGCCGATTTAAGTCAGTGACGACAATGATGTGATGTATATCATTTTGGCCAGCTTCAAGTGTTCCATCCCATGAGATGAAGGAAAACGAAGCGTCCTTACAGAATTAAAGTCGGGATATGGGATATATATGGAAAATTGGAAACAGTAGCCTACATGGGAGACAAGAGGTGAGAGATGGGAAACAGAAGGTGGGATTCAGAAGATGGGACTGGTCATAAAATGTGTACAATAATGGCTGTATTGCTGCACCGGGTCAGTCTGGGAACCGACGCAGAGAGAAAATGACGGGAATCAATTATTCTTATTATAAAACAACTCTCTCTTTCTGTCCGTCTCTCCCCTTTCTCTTTCCTTCTCTTTCTCCCCCCCCCCCTCTTTATTTTTCTCTGTCTGTCTCTCCCTCCCTCTTTCTCTCCCCCCCCCCTTCTCTCTCCCCCTCTCTTTCTCTCCTCCCCCCAACCTTCTCTCTTTCTCTCCCCCCCCCCCGCCCTCTCGCTCTCCTTCTCTCTCTCTCTCTCTCTCACACACACTGCCCACAGACAAAATTGCACGCTTTCAACTCGAGAGCGCTGAAACGTTTGTTTACACTCGTTATATCACGGGCTGTCACGCGCTTGTTGTGTTCGTTGGGCTCTTTAGATCATTGTTTGATTTATAACAAGACGTGAGACACACATTGGGGTAACGGTAAGGAACATTGAGGCAGCCATCTTGGTAACCCAGAAAATGCAACAGTTTATTTCTTTAGAATTGATTACAAAATATCATATCCTGATCGGTATCGATTTTTATCATTATTATCGAATATGACAGCGCTAACACGTAAGGTCGCGTCCAAGTCTCGCGCAGACGCGAAATAGGGCAATTGAAACATCTTGATAGGCATATATTTTTGTCATATATATAGGCCTTCTATCCTAATAATAATAATAATAATAATATATTAATGTAATATTTATATATCGCATTTCCAAAAAAGTAGAGCTCAATGTGCTTAACATTGGAATATTATCCATTTTTCAAATGCGTTGTTGCGTATTGAGAGTTCGTCATTTTCCCTTACACTGGCGAGCGTTAAAAAAAACCCAGCCTTTGCATCGTAAGTATAGCTGATCCATTATTAATTTAAATGCATTGACAGACCTTTTTCTTTTTTTTACAACCTGACTATGGAAAAAAAACAATCTTGCACTTTTGGTGCAAGCCTCTCAACGCAAATAACGAGAGAATCTTCTGTAATATGTACTGAGCCCACAGCCACGAGAGTTCGCGATGTAACGACAGGGTACAGCAAGACTGTACGCGAATCACAACTCTCAACTCACCGGAAGTTCCCCCTAGCCTGCTCGCAAGCCTCTGGTGCAAGCCGTACGCTGCTCCCAAGGCGCTTTTTCGGTAGTTCCCACCCCGCAATTGCTATTCACGGGTTTTGGCCCCAAGAATATGAGGGTTTCAGGGGGGCATACCCCCCCTGAATTTTACCACAATTTAATGTTTTGCAGTTGTTAGGTTTGACAGCTCGCCGCGAATCAAACGTATAGATCTAGATGTAGATCTAGATCTAGGTCAGGCTCAAATAAGGGGGGTGGGAACTACCGAAAAAGCACCGCTCCCAAGCCTTCGATAAATCGAGCGGGAAGATTGAAGAATACCGGACCACTCGTACATTATTGCGCGAGAAAGTGGGGTAGGTGGGGCGGGTGGTTGGGATGGAGGAGGGGGGAGGGGGGTTCAGGGTGGTCTCCCCCCTGACAAAATTTTAACGAATAGATCTACCGGTCCGAGATTCTCCATTGAGAGATATTAAAAACGGGAAAATTATGAATTCGTAAGGTTGAGACATAGGCAAAGTCAGTTCGCTGGTCCGGTATTCTTCAATCTTACCAATCGAGCAGACTCCAGCTCTACTAGATTTTTAGATCTAGATCTAGATTATCTAGTCTAGATCAAGAAGATATAAAATCTAGATCTAGAATTTCTAGATTTCTAGGGTTAGATATCTAGATCTAAATCTAGATCTAGATCTAGATTTTCTATATCTATCTATAATCTAGATCTAGATTCTAGCCTCTATACTAGACTAGTAGATCTATAAATAAATATAAAATGAAAATAAATAAAATTTTCAGCAGAACTTACGTTTTCAGGCTTGCCCAGTTGAGCTGAAACAAATTTTGTTGCTTCAGGGAGGAAATCCCCGGGAATTTGATCCCGTTTTAAGTTAGTAGAAATGGAGAGAATCGGCATTTTGTTTCCAGCAGACAAAACACAAGCGCTGTCCTGTAGCCTAACTCTGTAAATCGAAGACTCTAAGCTGTGGAAGTGAATGTTGTTTTCGTCCGACCAACACAACCACGCTCTTCAGTGCAGAGGTATTATGTTTGGTGTTTAGGCCTGTGAGTCAATTGCGCGAAGCTTCTGATAGGAATGTCATGTGACACAAAAAAAGACTCCCCCTCTTCAATAAATTTTACGTGACCTTGCAAAAGTACCCTGTCATCGCCTTAGCAAATAATCTTGGCCATGATAATCTAACACAGTTCAGCTCTGTTTTTCTCGATACCTTTGTGTGTGTGTGTGTGTGTGTGTGTGTGTGTTTGTGTTAGTGCTGGGCGGGAATCGATTCGATGCATCGATACCCCGACGGTATCGGAATCGAATCGATAGGTTTGAAAAGGATCGATACATGAGGACTAATTATTCCCAAAGATAGTAGGCTACATAACAAGATGGTCCACTCAGCCAAAAAAATGTCCGCCGGAAGTCCGCTCTTTGCTTCAGATGGCGCTGCAATCTGTTTTGAAGCTCTCTTTCGTTTTTCCAGAACAAGAATAGGAATAGCACCTCCTTGCGTGCGCAGATCGACTGCTGTTCATCAGCAGTTCGGGTTCGTTCAATGCGGAGTTTTAGGGGTTTTTAAATTTTAGGCCTAGACTCTAATGACCTCTCGCCTTTCATTCTAAAGTCAAATTAAACGAAGAAAACAATCACCCTTTCCTCCGGAACAGGTTTTTTTGTCAGCGTCACCATTTTTAAAAAGCGTTCTTCCGAAATATATTTTAAAAACTGCTAGTTTCACGTTGATTTTTTAAACACAAGTAGGGTAACTCTGTTCGCAAAAGGTGTGCATTTGCGAAGAAGCGCCACCGAATTTTGAGGACACGTTTTTAATTGGCTCAAAGAGAGGAGTGGCCCCTCTTGTTATGTAGACTCTTTGTTTTTCCCAGGCAATTCACTGATCAAAGGGATTATATTTTTGTTCTTTTCAAGTCCAATCGAAACACAAGGTTCAAAAAAGAAACGCGCTCTTTGCCTATAAATCAACATGGCATCAAGAAAGACTAGTATTGTATGGGGACATTTTGAGAAGGATAATCCTTCACAGGTTAAGTGTTTATTAGACCCCCAAAAAACCATTTGCATTCTCAGGTTAGTGTGTTGATTTTGGGTGCTTGGTGTGATGAAGCCCTCGTGGGACGCTCAATATGTTAAAAACGATAAGGAAACAACAAATGCAGTTTTTGGAATACCTGAATAGACATAAAGGTCTTGAACATCTAGCTCTCACTGGCAAAATTGAGGGCAAGCGAGGCAGGGGTAGGCCCAGAACAACATACAGTCGAACCTGTGTAAGACAGAATCGCAAGGGAGCCAGAAAAAAATTCCGTCTTAGACATTTTCCGTCTTACAGGGGAATTTAGGTGGATATGGAGGATGGGGGGGGGGGGGGGGGGGTTCAAAGGCCCAGCTGGTGGGATCAAGGATCGCTTATCCGATCGGCAAGCAGTGGTCAAAACTTCACACCTCTCAATTGCTATCCTGTCTGATAATGACATGCGTCAGTCTTACTTATCCAATTACCACCAGTGCTTGCCTTTCATAGGACCACTGTTTGACCTATTAAAAACAGAAACGTTTGAACATTTCCTTTGCTTCCACCCTTAGCCCCACCCACTAATGCCACACTTTACTGCCATCATTGTAACAACGATTCGAGGAAGTCTTTTCTCGGCTGGCCGTACAATCAGGCGGCAGGCATTGGTCAATCTAATTTTACACCTCTGGCTTCTGGATCCAGGAAAGTTTCCGTAGGGTCTCGCTACTGGAGCACTCTCACGGGCAGTCGTGAGATTTCACGCCCACTCTACACTGACCATCTGCATCGCTCAGGGTTCACGTGATGGGGTAACATCTACTCCCAAATTGTACCCCTACTCCTCTTCCTCGGCCAGCTGCATGACCAAAGCGTTAGTTTAGAGCCAGCGGAACCAAACTTGCGAGTTTTGTTTCAAATCAGGGCTGACCGGGCAAAGCATTTTCCGTCTTAGACAGGTGAAACCCTCGGAAGGGAGCGGATTTTTCTTTCCGTTTCCGCGTTGGACAGGTTTCCGTTTTATACAGGTAATTAAAGAGGAATATATCAAAGGGGGAGCGGGGAGGTTCCGTTAAGACAGGTTTCCGTTATATACAGGTTCCCGTAGGCAGGTTGGACTGTACTTAGGGAACCTAAACAAATGGGTAACAGGGAAAGATCAGGGAAACGTAGCTTTTCTTAGAGCATCCGAGCAAAGGAATTAATGGAAAACCATGATCGCCGATGTCTGTCGTAGATCTGGCATTAGATGATATGGTGTGTGTGTATTGGTAAAGAAAAATGTTTTTATCGATCAAGTTCAAGTAGGCCTACTAGGTATCGGTATCGAAATCGAATCAATTCCTTGAAAAAATATCGAGTACAGACTCGAGTCCTAAATAGTGGTATCGTCCCAGCACTATCTGGTGTGTGTGTGTGTGTGTGTGTGTGTCTTTGCGTAGTTATGTAGACAAAAGTATATTCGCACACTCACGTTATGTAGACATGCCCCGTTATGTAGACGTCCACATAATGTTTTAAGGTCACCATCGCATTTCCCGCCAAAAATTACATCATGTGTTAAAATATTTTTGAATTTGGTTCCGGTCCGAATAACGCTGTTATTTCGTTATTTCTATACACAACGCTATACACACTTCGAGTGTGTGCAGAATTTTTGGTGTCCACATAACGACAGTAGCTTTCTGATTTGTGTATCGCGTGTGTGTGTGTGAGACGGCACGTGGCGGATCCATCTAGGAGTTGGAATCCAGAAGCCTTCTCTGCTGTACATCATGGAGCAACGCTCTGCAGTTAGTTTAATAAAAGTTTTACGGCGCTGGCAACATCTTACGGCCACATGCACGCATGAAACACAAGTTGATTGCATTCACAACAGCTCACTGCACGGCTTTATTTTACTTTTAAAGTAAAGGAAAACATCTCATGGTAAAAAAAAATTGTTTTAAAAAGATTAGAAAATAAAAACAGATGTTTACATTTTAAAACAAAAATTATCTACTTTTTAGAATACAGGCTAATGACTTTTATAGATTTGAGAATTCTATTTGGATCAACGAAGGAGAACAGACCTTTTAATTTTGTGCATTTAAAATATTTACTTCTCTCCAAAGTCCGGACATTCTAATGTGTCTAATGGTTAAGTCTGTATCGCATCTGACACAGAGCGGTTTCTAATCTCAACGCAGGAGATATCCATGGGTCACGGAAGCATATATCTAAATACGTAAACGAGTAAAAACTTCTTCGTCTGTTCTCGAAAGACCAGAAGATTTTCGTGGGTCCAGTGTGGACACTGTGAAGCTTGTTGGTAGTTGTTTACTTTAGTTTTTATCCCACAGCCTGGAGATGTAGTGAAGGAAATAATTCTCAACAGCAATTTAACTAGATTTTCTATTTTCGGGTTTCAAAGTTTTAGATTGTCTAACAGCAGCAAGAAAATGGACATCCAGGTCAAAACCAGAGGCTTGAGACCGTACGCAGCTTCAAATACCAGCGTGCAATAGTGACAGACAAAGGATCAAAACCAGAAGAGGGCAAACTTCAACAGCAATGACCAAGTTGAAAACCAGTTGGAAAGACAGAAATATCACAACCAGATCAAAGATCAGACTCATGCATTCCTGGTCATGTCAGTATTTTTGTATGCATGTAAATTCTGGACCTTGAATGAAGACCTTGAAAGGAGGATCAAAGCTGTGGAGATGAGATGCTTCCGAAAAATCCTTAGTATCTCATTCAAAGATCACATCACAAATGATGAAGTCAAACAACGGTTAAAAAATGCAATTGGACCATACCCTGGCCTTCTCACTTTGGTCAGGAAACGCAAACGGCAAACAGCAATGGCATAGACACATCACCCGTTCATCCGGCCTTGCCAAGATGATCTTGCAAGGCAGCGTCCAGGGAAAAAGGAGCAGAGACAGACCGACGAAGAGTTGGAAGGACAACATCAAGGAATGGACAGGCCTGGACCTCAAAGACACGCTCTGAAGAGCGGAAGGAGTGTAGGAAGCTGGTGGTCAAATCTTCAAAAGCCCCGACGAACATCCACTCTTCGGGATAGGTGAAAGTGAAGTGAAGTAGATTAGTTTTTATCCCATAGCTTGGAGATGTAGTTAAAGAAATAATTCTTAACTGCACTTTAACTATTTTCGAGTTTAAAAGTGTTAGATTGTCTAATAGCAGCAAAAACATCACAGTGGACATCCAGTCAACAATCAGAAGCTCGAGACCGTACGCAGCTTCAGATACCTACGTGCAATAGTGACAGACGAAGGACCAAAACCAGAAATACTCTCCAGAATAGGGCAAACTTCATCAGCAATGACCAAGTAAAAAACCGTTTGGAAAGACAGAAATATCACCATCAGATCAAAGATCAGACTCATTCGTTCCCTGGTCATGTCAATATTTTTGTATGCATGTGAATCCTGGACCTTGAATACAGACCTTGAAAGAAGAAGGATCAAAGCTGTGGAGATGAGATACTTCCGAAAAGTCTTTAGTATCTCATAAAAAGATCACATCACAAATGATGAAGTCGAACAACGGATCAAAAATGCAATTGGACCATACCCTGACCTTCTCACTTTGGTCATAAAATGCATACTGCAATAGCATAGACACATCGTCCGTTCATCCGGCCTTACCAAGATGATCTTGCAAGGCAGCGTCCAGGGAAAAAGGAGCAGAGACAGGCCGAAGGAGAGTTGGAAGGACAAAATCAGGGAACAAACAGGCCTGGACCTCAAAGACACGCTCAGGAAATCTGAAGAGCGGAAGGAGTGGAGGAAGCTGGTGCCCAAATCTTCAATAGCGCCACAACGGACATCCGGTCTACGGGATAGGAGAAGGTGAAGTGAAGAAGATTGGTGGGTGGAGTGAGGCAAGACAAGGCATCGGACAGAATGAGAAACGATAATTTGGGAGAATATTCTACGGAGTTTAACGCCAAGTCAATAGCAGTGGCCTCCGCAGAAAAATATGGAGGCTTCGGGGTGGAGCATTTTTGCTGCTTTCTTTTTCTTTGGGGTCTATGACATTACCACACACCCCAGAGAACCGTACCTAGTTTTCCGGGGGTTTTTTCTGATGGTTGTGGTATGTCTTTGTGACACATTTCTGGAATCGTTTCGTGAAATTAGTGGTAGTTGAGGCTGAAAGTGGGGTTCAAATTATGGAAGCATCCAATAACAAACCCGTCCCAGTATGCTTTTTGAAGTTAAAGCGCTCTGGGGTCGGTTCGTGTTGAAGGTGTTGGAGGCTATTGATCTTGAGAAATATTGGGAAATGATCCGCACGGTCATCCAGCACAGACCACTCAAAATCTGGGACCAGGTCAGGGGAGTAGAAAGAAAGGTCGATGGATGAAGTGTTAAGGATTTGTTTCAGTAAGTTGAGGATTTACCATTTAAAAGGCAGATGTTGTTTTGAAATTTAAAAAAAGTCTTTTATTGTTTTTTTCCTTGTTGCCAAAATCCCCAAATGAGGTTATGTACATTAAAATCTCCTACTAAGATAAAGGGTCTGTGGACTTGGTGTTTGAGTCATTAAGCTGGGTAATTTTGAGGGGGTAATTTGACGGGACATATGGAGCAGATCGTGATTGGTCTTATCAGGGTGACCCATACTGCAATAGCCTCGAGGGTTGTCCTAGTTGTCCTAAGATGAACATGTATTTGTCAGTGGAGGGTGTTATTGTCGATGTATCGTAGACGGTGGTTCAACCAGAAGCTGTCTGGTTCTCGGCGTGAATATGATGATGAGAAATTTTTAAGTCAATGTTTGAAGCCGGGGCGAACTTTGTCTCTTGGACACAGGCCACAAGTGGGCACAGTGTAACCTGTATGTGTTGCAATTTTAGAATGGAAGGTCGAGTCCTCTGGCATTCCACTGCAGGACCGCCATTAGACCATTTTTTAAAGATTTGGAGCACAGAGGTCCCGTCTTCTCTGAGCTCTGACTCCTCCTTGTGGAGGAAGAAGAGGGTTTGCTCGGCTGCCGCCCTTGATTGGGCAGCATCCAACCGGGAGACTTGGGGAGGGAGTGACGGCTTCCTTCCTTCCCGGATCGGAGGTGTCATCTTCCAAAGGGAGGGGATATCTGGTGGAGGGGTAAGGGTAGGTAGGGCGAAGGGAGTTGGAAAGAAGGAGGAGGGGCTGGATGAGGGGGAGGGGGCACCTCACACACCATCAGAGGGGTGGGGCGTGGGGAGAGAGAAGAAGAGGGGACGGAGGAAGAGTCCACCTCGTCCTCCCCTAGAACTCCGAAACAGTTGGCGAGTGGCCCCTCGAAGGTGGTTACTACAGGAGTAGGAGGGACCTTCTTAGCTTTTATTGCAGTTTCGCCTGTTGACCACGGGCTCTTTGAGTTTGGCAGTAGAAGTACTGGCTGATCACGAGACCAGCCGGACTGGACTGCCTTTGCGTTTAACCGACCAGGGACCGGGGTCATAACTGTCGGGTAGACAGTCTTTCGAGGCTTCTGAAATGAGCAGCCATTTCGGGCTTTGTACTCTTGGATGGTGCTTTCTTGGAACCAAGTGTTGGCCGTGGCAATTGTGAACGAAAGAAAGGACTAGCCTTTCATACTTTTTCAGGATGCCCGGTCTTGCCACGACGAGTACACACTCCTGCGTGTCGGCATCACGACTGGCTACGGCCAAACTTCTGGCCCTTGAAGCAGCGCAGAGCGTTTTGCACTCAGGGTTGCATGTCCAGGACCAAGTATGCTGCCCGAACAGTGGCTGGTGGGCAGCATGAATCGAAAGTCAAAACAATTGTGTTCCTTTCAAGGGCGGTCTCGCCCCGCCGAAGAGTCATCTGGCGGGCTTCGACCACACCCTCACAATATAGCCACAATTTTTTCTGAAGAGCAGCCTTTCATCTCATGACTGCGCACGACGCTCTTCAAGCAGTTGTACTTCTTGTGTCTCCAAGATTCACAGGAATACCATGGAAGGTCGTGAGATACAGGGGTCCAGTTATTTCTGTTTCGTATACAAGGAGTGCACCAGAAGACAGTTTTTGGTCGATGGCGGGGATGTATCCCAGTGTCTGTGTTAAAGCATCTCCTGTCATGAAAAGGGTTGGATTTGTGATCTTCTTCTGTGCATCAAAATTGCGGATGGTCAAGTACGGCTGCCCCGGAAGCTCCCTGGGAGGAGGGAGAGCACAATCAGCCGTAAAGGTCGGTTTTCCTGGTTGTCTGCTCGGCTCGGTGGCTACACCCGCTTCTACGAGCCGAAACTTTTTTGTATCGTTGGGGACTGGGGATGGGTCAGAATGTTTTTGGGGATTCAATGTGTGTTGGAATGCTTTTCAACTCCGGGGCTCCCCTCCCACCACTGAGTGAAACAGAGGAAACATTGCTCGGATGACCAGAGCTGAGCCAGAGCTACTCCGGAGTTATACTCTCCACGAAAGTGTACTAGATCGTCCCATCAAGATTGACCCAAGGAAAAACTGGAGGGGCTTCAGCTCCAAATCGATTGAGTGGCATAGGCCGCCCCACCCTCCCGTCTAAGAGGAAAAAGTGGGTCAAAGAGGTGTGTTGGCGAGGGACAGTCCGCAGACTGATCTCACTTCAACTGCCAGTTACCCGGTTTCCACAGGTCGCACCCCACGGTCAACGAGGCGCCCATTCTGTGGGATGGACGACCTCTAGTTTTGCTGCACACGGGGTAAGCGGTGGAAGAAATGATAGAAGAAGGGGAAGGAGAAAGAAGGATGGAGAAAAGGAAAATGCACCAAAGAAGATGTTGCTCATGGATCCCAGGGACAGCGAGTCTATTTATATATCCCCAACCCATGTGTGAATTAATAAACATAAGAGGCACCCAAAGCCTTTAAAAACCTTTTATGCTCCGGAAGTCTCAAAAATCTGTCCTCAGAGAAAGTTGCATTTGAAAATAGCAAAAGTTGCAAAAAGTTGCAAGAAAAAGTAGCAAAAGTTGCAAGGCGTACGTATAGCTAAAACAATGCCACGGAACTATTGGAATACATTGTATTGTTGCTACGCTCATTGCAATCAAAAGTAACCAATATGAGTTTTGTTAGATCAAAATCAAAAGTTAAATGTGAATGTCTACCCCCCCAAAAAAAAATTGCTTGTAGTACAAAAAAAGTTTGTCCCCTAAGTGTAGAATTCTGTGCCCCTGACACATGCGTCAGGTCCTTAACTCTCGCTGACGTTGGGCAGGTGTGGCCGGCGTTGTTTTGGGGCTGTTCAAATAAAATCTTACACTTTGTTTGGGAATTTTTGCCCACCCTCCTCCTCCCGCCCTTACACTTTTCACTTTCGTGCGACACCCCCCCCCCCCCCCCTCAATCCCGTATATTACGTTTTTCGCTTTATAATAATATGACATTTATATTGGGCAAATCCGTGGTACAATCACTCTTCTATGTGCTTTACTTTTAAATGATTAATTATGGTATTCATGAAAAACATGCATACACATACATGTGACATAATACACGTAATTCAATACGCTATAAAAATATCGGAACTTTTCCAGAAAAACTTACTGTGTCATTTTACCACTTTAACCGCACCCGTATAATCAAAATAAGACTAGATCTACATGTCAATGTCATGTAGCCCAGATATCTACCAGTGCGAGATGACATATATCGTGCTTGCCGCTCGAGGTCCACTGTATCGCCACAATGCTGTGCTTACCGCTCGAACTGAACTCGAAGTCTACGTGAATAGTGTAGAGTTACTCTCTTTTTATGCTATTAACAAAACAGTTACGTTGCTATTTCCGTTGATTATTTTTTCACCTTACAAAAGTGTAATTTTACATCGACTCGTTGTTTCAAAACAAACACGTTGTTTTCAGGCGACGAGTCGGGCGATCATCCCGACTCGACCTGACCCGGGTCACAGGGCGGCGGCGGGCCCCCGCCGTAGGCTAGTTCAAAGTGTAAAGAAGCGAATTGCCCCCCCCCCCCCCCCCCCCCTTGGGGACGAAATTTTTAGGCGGGGAAAAAAATTTCGGGGTTTTTTTATGAAATTTTATTATTTTTCCCAATTTTGGGGGAAATTGGGTAAAATTTGGGAATTCCCGAAAATCGGAAAAATTGGGCAAAGGTTCCCTTGCGGCAAAAGTTGGGGGTTGCGGGCGTGAATTTTTCTGCGGACAGAATAATGGACCATTTGCGTACCTTTGTGCAAAAGGTCAGGAGGTCGTAAAGTCCACATAATGCAATGTCCCACTAACGTTAGTAAAAAAACATACTGGACTAAAAATTTAGGTAGCTTCTTGAAATTTGGTGGACAATGATGTTTTTGTATAGTGGACTTACACTGCAAATATTGATTGATTCCACCGATAACTTTGGATGATATGGGGTGTCCACATAATGTAGGTTTGGGGCAATGTCCACATAATGACCTCAAAACACGTATGTGTGTGTGTGTGTGTGTGTGTGTGTGTGTGTGTGTGTGTGTGTGTGTGTGTGTGTGTGTGTGTGTGTGTGTGTGTGTGTGTGTGTGTGTGTGTGTGGAAGGGGGGGGGGGGGGTGAGGCTCATCGAGGATTGTGCGAGTCCGGTATTTTAAAGAACCTGGACTCGAGTCCGACTAGGCCTAAATAATAAAAAAAAAAAATAAACGAAGTGACTATTCCCAGTGACACTGGGGATAGGTACAGAAACTATTCCCAGTGACAACGGAACTCTTTTGCGTAAAAAAAAAATCAGAAGTCTTTGCACTGCACTGCACTGTAGACTCTCTTCTCACTTCAGTTCGGTACATATATATGTACTTTTGTTCTCTTCTCTAGGGCCATAGAGTTACCCCCTTTTAGTGCCTATAGTATACATCTAAGCTGAGGGCTTAGACTTGACCGTAGAATAGATCTAGAACTAGATCTAGATCTAGAAAAAAAGAAGAATCGGGAAAGATTTCTTCCTCGTGGTCTCCAAAATCTGTATGTAGATCTTGATCTACACGTACATGAATTACGACCGAATAGCAAGCAAGCATAGACTGATAATTCCTTTTTCTTTTAAAAAGATATTCCACTCACACTAGAATCTTCTTTAGTTTAGTTAGATCTAGATCTAGTATCTAGCTGGAATCTAGATCTAGATATCTGCATGGCATTAGATATAGTCTAGTAGTATTTAGTAACCCATCACCATCATGCCCATGTAGATCAGTGTGGAAACAATAGATCTAATGGCTCTGTCTGTTCCCAGTGTCTCTGAGAATAGTTTCTGGGCCTATTCCCAGTGACAGTGGGAACAATTCTGCCCTAGGCCGAGGCTCTAGGCCCAATTGCCAGTGGTTTCTGGGCCTGTCACTGGGAATAGTTTCTGGGCCTATTCCCAGTGATACTGGGAATAATTTCTAGGCCTATCCCCAGTGCCACTGGGAATAGTGCTTTCCAAAAATAAAACACTCAACTGTGTACTCGATCGAACGCTCAGCTCAAACAATGAGTCCACATAACAAGAGGGGCCACTTCTCTCTTTGAGCCAATTAAAAAAGTGTCCTCAAAATTCGGTGACGCCCTCTTCGCAAATGCACACCCTTTGCGAACAGAGTTGTACCCTACTTGAGTTTAAAAAATCAAAGTGAAATAGCAAGTTTTTGAATACATTTCGGAAGAACACCTTTTTAAAATGGTTACGCTGACAAAAAACCTCTTCCAGAGGAAAGGGTGATTGTTTTCTTCGTTTAATTTGACTTTAGAATGAAAGGCGAGAGGTCATTAAA